GGCAGGATGATAGCAGTGGTTAGAAAAAAGTGTAGTGAAAGAATCACATTTTCATCTTCCTCACCTAGAATCTTCACTCTGCTTCTCTCCACTTTTCTCTTTGGAGGCAGGAGAGAGAAATGGTGAGGAGGGAAGATAACGAGAAAGCAGGATATGGGGAGGAAAACGAAGAGCTAGAAAGAGAGAAGAGGGAGTGACCGCGAGAGCCAGAAAGAGTGATTGCCTATTGACTTGATGAGAGAGAGGATGCATCATTATATAATTGTAAATCCCAGAAAGATAGGGTGTAATAGGGCTGTCTCTCCTCCCACTGCTGCTTTGGTAATTTATCCCTCTCTCTTTCCATCCTTTTCTATCTCTCTCCTTCACCCTGTCACCCATCAATCTTTTTCCAATTACCTGCTCTGTCTATCCACAAATCCATCATAATCATTTCCATGGTAACGGGTTGCATCCTCCATTGGCTTTGGCCTATTGTTCAATATAATTGCACGCCAAAAAGCAGTCTTTAGAAGAGGGAAGGGGATACACAGAGAGACACAGATCTGGATATTGTCTCTGTGCTCAGCGACTAATGTCTCTCTCGTGTCTCCAAAGAGTTCACTTCAGAGAAGATAGTCTGTTTAATTTCAACCATGGCGTCCATTCATCAGACATTTTATTAGCCATTATGTGTGGATTGGCTTTATTCCAGGCTGATGAAACACCTTCTTGTCTGTGCAATTGTCAATTATTGTGAAGATGAGATGGTGGAACTGTCCATACAGGGTCAGTGAAGAACTAAAATGATATGTATATGTTAGCAACCAATTGGATACAACGCTCTTTAAAAAATCTATTAAGGTGGTTTGATGTTATTTGGCTAATCTTAATTGTAAGTTAATGGACACAAATTAAAGAATGCCTTGGGTCTCTCTTTTTTTCCTCCACATAATTACCAAAGATCCTGCTTTCCCTCAAACCCCAGCCAGCCTTTAAGGTAATACAATTGGTCTTCTAACATTAGCACCAACTATCCATGTGTTTCCTGTAGGTTTACGCTTGATCATGTAACGTTGGAAAATATCCACTTGATTTGACTAATTCAAACTGTCGAAGCCTCATATTAACTTTAGATAAACTTTGGCATACAAAAGAAGAAGAACTGTGATTGTTCAGCTTGTTCCTCTTCCTTTGTCTCCTGCAAGTAGAGATTGTTAATAGCAGGGGTAAGGACACAAATCACATGACTTGGATTCAACTTAGTAGTAACATGGCTTGACTTGGACTTGAGCCTTTTGACTTGAAAATACTTGATACTTTCCCTGAAGTCCAAAGATTAAGATATATGTTATTAAAAAGTATGCCAAAATCCATTCATTTCATTTCATTTCATTTCCTAAAACCACTAACGTTAAAGCTATTCATTCCCAGCAAGTCGACACTTAATTCCCCAAATCCACGTTGTTTGAACCAATATGAGAGCATCAAATCAAGCTGCAGGAGAGAAACCAGAAACAATTTGTTTGTTCTGTTTAAATGGCATTACACTTGGTGAAGAGCAAGACTTGTTTAGGACTCGAAACTCAAGGTTAAGGACTCGACTTGGGACTTGTCTGTCTTGACTCGACTTGGTCCTACCACTGGTTGATAGTGTGGACAACATCAAGCTGAAGTTGAAGAACGCTTCAGTAATGTTTTTCTCAGTAACATCAGACAGAAAATTCAATCTAGCAAAGTAATTTCTACCGCTCATTGAAATCACTGGTGTCTGTCTTTCTCACAAAGTTGATAAAAAAAATTTAAACTTAATTACTTTGGCTATTAAAGATTACATGAAACTTGTTTGTAGTAAGTTAGACATATCAGACCTTGCCACTGACGTTGTATATCACAAAGTGAATGAATGTAATCATGCTGCTGTGTGAATGGAGAGCCAAAACAGAGAGAAAAAGATGTGATTTCATGAACAACTGCATTTTTGTGGCCTTAGGAATTGTTCCACCATCATATTGTGTTTGAGCAGCACACTCTGCAGTCTATTGTTTACAATAATCTGCAGCCCAGTATAGTGCAGAGTCTTTTCAAAAGAAGTGTATTGTTTAGCCTGCCTCTAGAATCTTTGCTTTCTTTAATAACTTATGATAGACATTTGTTTTTAGTTCAGCAAACACAAACTAATTTACAGCAGGGTTTATAACAAAGAGGTCTCTATATACACACACACCAACATGGACACACTCAAACACACTCAACAACACACAAGTCTGCTGTTGTCCACTCCACCACAGGTTGTCAGCCTGTCACTATTCTTTATATGTATCCCCTGTGGACTGCTACATTCACATTAGGACACTAACATATATACACTGACACACACACACACACACACACACACACACACACACATTTAATTTACACAACCCTACACAGGCAGACACACAAACACAAAAGATTCGTTTTTGAGCCACCCAAAGGACTATGGCCCTGCTACTGAGGTTCAGACATTTAAAAAGTATCAGTCAAAACAGAAGTAAATTGATAAAAAAAAAAAAAAAAAGATAATAAAATCAGGTCATTATTGAGTATATATATATACAACCCTTTGCCATATTTTTACAATACCAGAACAACATGACTGTGTGCACATCACAGTGACATTCTATTCCTTACAATCCCTACAAGTTCCCTTTCTTTGTGGATTTGCTGCATTACTTTGAAAGTAACAAGTACAGCCTCAAACAAATGAGCAGTAGATTCCATTTTCTTTCAACCTTTAGCCTAAGTATTAAGTTGGCTCCAAGCCTTCTGTGTCCTGCTGTGGGAAACAGCCACACTGCGTGCTGCACCCATCCCACCCAATGAATGCGTATTCGCTGGCCTCAGGTAATTGATATGTATAGGACACATGATGGTGTGAATTCAATTAGCAAAACAGTAACTTTGTTATTCATGAGGAGAAGTTGGGGTCGTTATCTCCTTCAGTGTGAAATGCACACATGTCAAGGCCTTTAATGAGAACTTTATGCATGTGTATGTTATATTACACTTTACTTACTGTTTTTGATTATCTATTTATTATTAGGTTAACCTGTGTTTGGTTTGTTTTTGTAGTTCTAGTTGTTTACATTCTGACAGATTTTTACTTTTTCATCAATGGCTTCCACCCTCCATATAAACCATAAAGCATATTTAAAGTATAAGAGAGCAGATCTGGATGCTGATCGGAGATTAGAGTGTTTTGTTATTGTCTTGGTTAGTGATGTGTTACATCCTCCACCACTCATCAATCTACTGCCCCCTCCCCTTCCCTCACTACCGCTCTCTCTCTCTCTTTCTCTCATTCTCTCTGTTGCTCTCTCTGCCTGCTCAGCTGCATCAAGTCACACAGACATGTAGCATAAGAGACAGGAAATTAGGAGATGTGGCTTCGAAAATAAAAGACTCAAAACATTTTTAAAAATTAATTTTGCGATGAACAAAAACATGCACATTTTAGACACTGTATATGTATGTATATGAGAGATGCATATTTGGATATAATATTAAGTAATGCAATATTCTTAATGGCCACAAAAATACTTTGTGAAGGAAGGGGCAGGGGAACTGTATTTTCTGTGGGATGTAGGAAGATGAAGCCGGAGGGAGATGAGCGGGTCCACACTATGATGCTGAAATAGATGCACCAGTGGAGAGCTTACAGGCCTTGGGAGAATAACTGGTATCCTTCAAAGACCAAAGTAGCTACAGAAGCTGAAAAGGATCAAGGCACACCTGAGTCAGACCTTGATGTTGATTTTTCACACTGCATGTCATCTCCAAAACATGACCTTCCAATTCTTTAGCATCCAGAACACTTCTTCCACATCTCTGCTACAGAGAGATAAATAAACACCTGGTGAAAAGGAAACCCAGTTGACTTAAAGTTAAAAATGAATGATAGAAAATCGGGTGTAACAACTCCAAATATTAGGTGAGATTTCTACACATTGCTTCCTCCAGGGAGTAATTCCAAAAGAATCAGGTAAGGGATTCATGTTTGTCAGCTCTTAGGAGGTGGTAAGTTAAACTATTTTAGAATAGGTCTGGAAAGGGACAGGTATATCACTAAATTATCATTTATTCTTGTTTTATTGACCTTTCGACATTTATGTTGTGTTCATTCAAGAATTTGTGGCTTGAAGGAATTTCCGGCATCATCACCTTCAGTTAGGTATATTTATCGGAAATGTCTCATTTAATAAAGTAGCCTTACCTTATACTTTTACAGTAAGGGCAGAGGTAAAGGAGCCTATTCCGATGAGGATCCCATACTGCACAAAACACAGGCTAGTCATAGCCAACAATGTAAAACATTCTAGGTGCTTATAATAGATTATTTAGTAACACTATTCACTAGCTTTATCTTGGAATAATAATTTGATCCATGAAAAACATAGATGATTGTCATTGTAAACGAGAATTGGCTCTCAGTTGACTAATCTGATTAAATAAAGGTAAAATAAAAAAAATAAAATAAAAAAATAAAATAATAATAATAATAATATTTATCATGCATATATAAGACAAAGGTGATGCAAACAGGGTGACAGAGTAAATGGAGTCAATAAAGGACTTGGAAATATCACAAATCAGATATTTAGAAATGCAATAAAAGTGACAGATTTATTTGATTGGTCAGAGTCATACTGAAATAAGAAATTGATAATACTTGAAAGTATAGCAAAGTTAATATTTGAAGTAACACAAATTTGTAATGCATCAGTCATAGGTACATTATGTTGCATTGTGTAAAAAGCTTATGAATTTGGGCTATGATATCTCCTCCAAGGTGTTATATCAGTTCTGACTGGTAACCTCAATGCAAGTATGCTGTAAAACCAGATTATTATTATTTTGCTGTTGTTGTTAATTCAAGCACATTCGTAAATGGCAGCTTTTATTTTGAAAGTTGTGATCGGAAGTCTTGTCTGAGATCCTGTCTGTTTTGACACTGGCTGGTGTGTGTGTGTGTGTGTGTGTGTGTGTGTGTGTGTGTGTGTGTGTGTGTGTGTGTGTGTGAGAGAGAGAGAGAGAGAGAGAGAGAGAGAGAGCGAGAGTGTGAGTGTGTGTGTACTCGGCTTCCTACTGCTGCTCGGTGTCCGCACACCGTCCGTCTCGTCAGTGTTGATCGGCTCGCCATGGCGGAAGGACGCAGAGAACAGCCCCATCCTCTCCTCTCCTTACCACCGGCCAGCAAGCGACCCTGCCTGCGCCCTGCTCCCCGAGGTCCAGGTCCGGGGCCCGGCCACGGCAGCGGCTTGCCCAGCTCCCGGTATCGTTCTCCGGAGTCCCTTCTGGACTGCGCCGCGAAGGCAGTAGCGGAGAAGTGGGCCTTCGAGAGGGTAGAGGAGCGTTTCGAGCGGATCCCGGAGCCCGTCCAGCGCCGCATCGTCTACTGGTCTTTTCCCCGCAACGAAAAGGAGATATGCATGTACTCTTCGTTTCAGTGCCGGGTCGCCGGCGAGGAGGGTCCGTCGGCGGCTACCGGTGGGGCTGGGGGTGCGGGGTCCGGAGCTACAACCGCCGGCGGTGGCGGAGGATCTACCGCCGGTACGACGGCTACCGTGGGGGCAGCCGGAGCAGTGGGAACGGGAGACGGACTGCCATTTCGCCGGGGTATCAGGCTGCTTGAGACCGGCTGTGTGGAAAACGTTTTACAAGTCGGTAAGTGGAATATTTCCCTATAACAGAGGCGAAGCTTTTTTTTGAGCACAAACATTGTGGACCGTTTCCAAGTCTGTGCCGCCGCTGCTGGAGCTTTACTGGGGATGATTGATGGAAGTTTTCCCTGCTATCGTGGAAAGTATGGAAAGCGTTACTTTACCACGCATTTACGACCTCACACGGGTCTGTGTGTGTTTTCACTTTAGTGGGCTTACAGGAAAACATTTGTCATCAAATTTCGAGCTTTTATCGACCTCTGAGTGAAAAGGGAAGCGAAGATAAGGTCGCTCGGTCGCTTGCTAGCTTTAGCCGACCAGCTGCTGTTAAAAAATTAAAGGGCTTCCTATTGTGGCTTCACTCTGTAGCTCTACCGCTGAAGACTGCGTCTTTGCCCAGTTTTCAAGCCTTGCCTCAGTGTGTTTAACGGGTCTCCAAACAACACAAGCCGTGTTTTAGCACTTTCTATTCCCACTTTTCTTCCTCTCCGGGGCTGCTCGTCGACGGTCGGGGCTGGCTGGAGCCGTAACCCCGGCAGAGAGGCAGGGGGAGGCGCGGAGGAGGAGGGCTGACAGACGCGGATACAAAAGGACCCAGCGTTATAGCGTCGGGGCTTTATTTTTGTTTGTGCAAAATTCCCCGTTGCAAAAGTCGTTTTTTCCAGCCCGCCATCGGTTGGGGGTGGCTTAGGCAAGGAACAAAGGCGGTTATTGGGTCTCTTATTATGATTAATCCAACGTTAATCCGAAAAAAATCCCCCCACAGTTTTCTGTTTATTTGCTGCTGCTGCTCGGACCGGACAAAGAGCGCAGTCGCCACCAACGTGGAAAATATACACGCTGGGAGTGTTTGTGTTGTTGTTTTTTTAGTATTAAAGTTAACCCCTAAGTAGCTGTTTATAACGTCAAACTGCCTTTTATTAGTGCGTTTGCCCGCAGCCTCTCAGTCGCTCGCAACACAAAAGGCTTCCAGTTGAAATGATCGATAAGCGTCTCGCATTTCCAGCGCTGCAGAGAGGCTGTTTCCAAACAAAGGGCCATTCCGCAAAGCTCCATCTCCACTCAGCGTCCTCATTAGCTTCATACCCCCGGCTCTACACAGCCACAGAATGAGCTCAGACATCAGGGAAATTGACGAGATGAAACCGATGGATAGTCCCAAAAAGAACCTGCCTTTTATGGTTTCCGGCAGGATTTTTTCTAAGGCCATATGGTGTGAGAGCCACTGGAGCTTGTCTGGGGGTTTCATGTTGCTCCAAGGTACCTGGGGGGGGGGCTGCAAACTGTGGCTGGCTGCCGCGTTTCCCTGTGACTGACTGCTGTATCTAATTGCATCTTTATAAATGCTCATCGATTCCAGCCCATAACTAAATGAAATTTGAGACTTATGAATATGAAAGTGATATTTACTCTCAGTGTGATTTGTTGCCGTCTGGCTTGAGAAGTTTTGCAAGTTTGAATGTGTCTGAGGCGGTTGATGCATTAGAACATTTTCACACAATCAGTAAAGTTATTGAAGTCTGGTTCGTTCTGGCTTTAGTTTTGCGATTGCCTCGAGGCCATGCATATATGCAAGGATCGTTTGTAAGCCATAATTTGAGTGAAAGGTGCTTGAGCAAGTTAGAAGTGATGACCTACTTTTAACACTTCCTGTCATTACAAACACACCAGCTCCCACATAGGTGAAGCCATGAGTGTCAGTAGTACTAGGGGTGGTGTGTGCCTCTGTCAGGTTTGTAGCAACTAAACTTCAGAAATTTAAAACGCTCAAACCAAAGCGTGCACCCGTCAGCAAACACTTCCAGTCCTACCTGCCTCACCGGCCAATCTTTCCTGTCCCCCCCCCGCCCCTCAAGGTCAGTAAGGCAGGCACATGGTTTTGTCTTTCTGTCAACAAAACACAAGACGGGCTAAATAGCTGTGTGACATCAAGATAAGATTAGGCTTGTTCTTCACTTTGTACACCATGGGAACCAGTCACTGTGGAAGGTTTACTGACTGACTTAACAGGAGAACAATTGCTTACTTCTTTTTTTTTCGTCACAGGATTTAGATAGGTTGGGCAACCCAGCACGCTCATGCACAATGCGCTAATTAAGGATCTTGTTACACACCTGTAAATGACAGTCTTAAGATTGCTCTCACCTGACATGGCACTTAAAATAGTGGCAGTACTTGTTTTTAAGAGGGCGAGATGGACGTGCCTCATGTACTTTGTAATAGGACCTTGCTGGGGGGAGATTAGGAGTGAGACAAGACTGCGTGCTGACACATGCATGTTGAGGGTGCATGGTTTGAAATGTGGCATCTCAGTGAAAGCAGCTTTTTAACTTTTCAACCACGTGATATACACATTAATCGTTTAGACAGGGCTGCAAGATACATTTCTACACCAAAAGCAAATGCCTTTCTGCTGTATTTACCTTCATTTAGTTTGCTTGTAGTCAAGACAGTCATCACCTGTCTGCGTCAGTCTGAAGTTGAGGTGGGTGATATGACTTTAGGGGAGCTGCTCTTTTCCTCCGGCACCCTAAACGTTGAGACATCCAGACATTTTGGGCAAATCAGCCACTCTCACGGTAATTCCCCTCACATTCGATTCAGTGAAAAAATCAAAATGACACAATCATGTTGCAGCAAACAACCGGGAACACTGAAAACACTGAAGCAATGATCTCACAAGCTAAGCTGTCATGAGATATAATATTTAGCTGTTATTCCTCACAGCTATCACAAGCTCAGCAGGAGCTCCTGCTCCTATAAAGTCATGCTCGTCTTTAGACTTGTTTTTGTCATGGTTTCTCAGAATCGGCGTGCCTAGAGCCAGATCTGAAATTGCTTGTGTTTTTTTTCTTCAGGTAATTACTAATGGGATCTGGTGGTAGGGAAGGGGGTGGGGACTTGACAAATGTAATGTCTGGGTCACAGAAAGTTTAAAACCAGACCAGAAGAGGAAGACAACTGTTGCCAAAATATAAAACAAAAGTTTAAGAAACACAAAATCTCGGTTTTAACATCACATCAAATCTTTTTTACAGGAAAAATTAGTGTACGCTGGACATGCTGTCTCACTTCGTGTTTCCTGTCTGGCTGCTGAACTTTATTGCCCTAAAAGTTTGCATATGTAACAGCACCTCCAGCAAGCTGGGCAGTAATGAAATGGTTCTGGAAAAGGAGAGTCATGCCAGTATAAATTGATTATGTGCACCATTGAAGACATCTGTGTATGCATCAGCAATTGTAGAATGAGTTGAGTGGTATGTCCCTTCGATGCCCCCCTCCACCCCCGTACATTACGAGTAAAGGCTTTGTCTGTCGGCCTCTTTTAACGGTAAGACTGACGGATTGAAGAGACGTGAGCTCATCAACAACTCATTGGCCCATGTGTTCGTAATAATCTACTCCTCGCTCCAAGTCATAATTAGAATAATCAAAGCTAAGCGTGCTTGTATTTGTGAACCAACCCCCCCTCTCCCCGTACACGCCACATACACACACATGTGCACCCAGAAGCCCCCTTGCCAGAGCCTTATAAAGTCCTCAGAGAGCGGGAGGAAGGGATATAAGAGGAGGGAGGGGAAGGGGGGGGTTCTTAAGCTTTGAGTCAAGCTTTGGGATTATTGGGTCATGCTTTGTTACCCAGCTGTAGAAAAACCCCTTGTTCACAGAAAGGGGGTGTGTGTGTGTGTGGGGGGGGGGTCTGTGTGTATATGTGTGTGCACGTCCCCGTCTCCGCAGCGTTACATAAAGCTGTAATGGGTCCCTGATGCCTTTTGAAGCACCGGTGACTCTGACAAAGCGAGGCAGCGAAGTTGAACAGGATTAAACTGTATGGGACAGTCAGTCAGTGGGCTGAAAACACTGTGGGGCTCCTTAACTCCAAACACTTGAGGTCCTCAAATGTCTAAAAGCTCCTAAAACTGGCCTTTTAATTAGGTGTCGAGCACCAGAACTTCTTTGGTACAGACTCAAGTGTGAGTATCAAACTGTCATGTACCAAAAGTTGGTCAGGTGTCCGGTCAGTTTCATACTTCTAGAAAGCCCAACCAAATAATTGATAAATGATTTAATGTCTACTAGGGCTGCAGCTAATGGTAATTTCATCTGTGGATCATGTTTTTGATTCATTAAAAATAGTTCAGATTCTAAGTTCCCAGAGCCCAAAGTGACATCTCTAGTTGGTTTGTCCAACCAACAGTTTATGAAAAAAAGTGAAGTGAATGTTTAGCAGTATATAAATTACATGATCAATCAAGTAAGTAGTTGGCCATTAATCTTTTGTGTAATTAATAATGTGAGTACTACATCCACTTTCTGCCATGTATCGCACATTTTGAAGAATGAATAAGTGATTGTTAATTGCAGGAAAAAAAACACATTTTTCAGACGTGATGTTTTTAATTTCCAATCTCTTACTAAAGTATTTAGTGTGCAGGGCCTATGGTGTCTGTTCACGTATGATTTTCAGTCTTCAGTTTGCTGACTGTGTGTGTGTAGAGGGAGGTGTGGGTGGTTGGTCTTGCCAGAATTTCCTCAGATGTAATTTCCTGGCAGAATGGCCGGCGGGGTTCCTTGTTGTGGAAAAGCTTGCGAGCCTCTGGTGTAAATCCGCTCTTTGGTTGCTCAAGAGCGTTGTGATAAAAGACAGAAGGAGGCGGTGAGCTCATCCTCGCTTGCCTCATCTCACATCTTTCTTCCCGACCCGACTCTCAGGACCGAGTCCACTGAGCTCACTTTTCATCTTTCTTTCCACATCTCTATCTCTGTCCTGTCTTTACCTTTTGCTTTTTCCCTCCCTGTTTTCTTTTCTGATTTCTTTATCTGCTTTTCACTCGGCGAAGCTGTATGTAACTCTGCTTTCTATCTTTCATGCTCTTTTATGTTCTTCTCACACTCTCCCTTCTCTGTTTCTGTAACTTACATCAGTAAAAGATGACTCGCACTTTAATCATATTCTGTCTCTCGGCTCCAGCTGAGTAAAGAGCTGTTGGTCATCCTAGGCAA